ACTACCAAGACTTTTAATAAAGTCTTTCAAAATCTTTTGCAATTTTAACACGGTTTTCGTCTCCATAAACTACTGTTTTAAAAATTACTGAATTAAGACAAGAGTAAATGCGCATTGTTGGGCTTCAGTAAAAAAATTTATAGCTCCAAATAAAATCTTCAGATGAAAAACAACTTGAAGCGATTTCAAAAAAAAAAAAAAAAAGAGCTGTAATGAAAACATCTACCAAGATAAACTGTTGCCACAATAAAAAAAAAACTTGCTATTTTAAAAAATAACAATGAAGCAACAGAAAAGATTCACTCAGCATGTCTACAACCGACCATTAGCCATTATTGACAGATGTCTATTCCTGCAACGACTCCTTCAAAATTTTGTTACAATACAATTCTCGGTGATAAATCCTTTTCTTCGAAGAAAATGTTCACTTGTGCTTTGTAATCTCAATATAAATACCAACTCTAACGGGCCTCTAATTATACCACTTCTCTCTGCATTTACTCAAAGTTATATGTTCCAGATAGGTGTTCCCTGTTGTTAAGAAATTTAAAAGATGCTATTTTTTTTCTTTCAGTAATTCATGTGGAAAATCAATGAGATTTTTAAAATACCAGTAAGCAAACTGTACCGAAAAGAACTTACTTAAATTAAACGCAACAAATTAAACTTGGAAAAGGGAACACTAACAGTTCGTCAGAGTTATTTGTCTGTAAACTGTCTTGCAACTGATAGGCTTAGCTCAACAGTACCAGCAATAATAGACACAATTTACAACGAATTCTAGATCTACTGTCAATTACAAAGATCAAAATGCGATTTGATTACAATTTTTTTTCTTTGATAAAAATGAAAATTTTACAGCTGAAAATGTTCCTTAAAAGATTTGCCTATAGGTATACAGTGAAAATGAGTTTACAGTTAAGAAAAAACACAAAGTTAAAAGCCCTGAGAAAAGAAGATTTAAACAATCACTGAAAAATTTTGTCAAAAATCAAAACAATGAAATTTTCGGTTCACCTTTTCCAAAAAGATTATACAACGAACACGACGAAAGATACACACAGACTTATTGTTGAAGTTTACAACGCAAAAAGAAAACAGTATGTGATCATTATAACTGTTCTAAGCCTAAAAGTAAAAAATATAACTGCTTGCAAAATACAGCAAAAGAAAAAAAAAAAAAAA